GATAGTAGTAGTAGTAGTAGTAGTAGTAGTAGTAGTAGTAGTAGTAGTAGTAGTAGTAGTAGTAGTAGTAGTAGTACGACAAGCCACATCGAGATTCGCAGCAACTAGCGCGCACAACTAAGATGCACGACTCCAGTTGCACGAATGACCTCCCTCTTTTGAACTTCCAGGAGGCCATTGGGACGATCGGTGATTCTGTGTTCAGTACTGTCCAGTGTCAGCCAGTCGATTGATGTCCCGGGAGCAGTGATCCATCATTCGTGTGCCGCTTAGGCCACCAATATTTAGAAGGCGTTGGCTAAATTTAAATGAATGCCAGGGGGATTCTCTCAAACAGCCACTTATAATTATGTATGTACGGACTGTCACTAACCATTCACACTTTATCTTTACCTCAACGTAGAAGTTCAGTTTGGCAAATCTCTTTTTTGCGTACATGCTCTTCAGGGCTTTGTTAACATCTGTGGCCTTCAGGTATGGGGGTTCTGGCATTCCAAGGATTCCAGGGCCACCGTGGTCAGCAAAGTTGACGAACACGTAGTCATCGGGGCCGGAGTCAATGACCTTGCCTTCACGTCCAGTCAGTCTTTTGACCTCGGCCTGGAAAAGTCGACAGGTCAGGTTACCACACAGGTACAGCGATAAAATGTCGTGACAATAAAAGTAGCAGATAATTTAGAGATAAGCCAATATACGTATGTACCTAGAAAGAAAAAAAACCCTTTACCTAACCTCGTATAGGCACCCTTTATAGGCAATAACTGCACGTCCTAACCAAGTACACATTCGGCCTTACACTTTAAACTCCCCCTTTGTGCTGTCCAGACGCCAAGAAACTTGAATTCCGGATATTAGCAGCCCTAATATGTTTGAAAAGCATGACCAAATATCTCTGTTTTAGTTTTAGCTCAGAATAATTCCATCAAATTTTAACTCGATTAAATGAAAGGAACTTAAATAACCTCGTATTTATAACAAACACCACAGCCTTTTACTCATTTCCTAATCAAATTATCTTTTTGCCCGATGGTTTATTTTCTCATCAAGACACATTCCACTGTCCCATTCCGTACTGAGTGTTTTCTAGGAGTCCCTAGGCAAAGTTTCATCAATTGTTACAGTTGCTTACAAATTGAAGTGGTACGAAGATACCACACAAGCATCTGGACTGACCAAGACTGTCCTTTAATTAATGTACATCACAAGGAAGGAGACGAAGACGCAGATATAGGAAACCATGGGATGGGAACATCAAAGAGTGGGATTGGCCAAGACTGTACATCACAAGGAAGGAGCCGAAGAGTCAGACAGAATAAACAGTGGGAACGCAACATCTAAGAGGGTTCTGGTCGTGGCTGCAAAATCACCCAGTTGAAAGCTGAGAACCAGTTAAGAACCAGCTGAGAACCGTGAGCAGTTGAAGAAGCTGTAGCTGGTTGTAAATTCTACAGTGGTGCCCAAACGGACTGCCGGACTTTGTGGTAGGTGGAGATTGGGGGAGAGGTGAACAGTCGCTTACTGCAGGAACTTTACATATTGCACAGGCCACTGATAACCTAAGCTTGACGTGTTGATTAAATACGTGAAATGAGTTGACGCTCACGATAAAGGCTAAAATATACGTTACAAAAGTCGTTGGTAGGTTGAAAAGAAATGGTCACAATGGTGAATGAGAATGTTGAGATCATTTAAGACCCTTTCCCAATATTGGTTTCTAGTATACGTCACACCTGGCCAATTACCAGAATTATCCTAGTGAAATTTAGGGTAGCACCGAGAGCAGTAGAAAGGAAAATGCTGGGTTAATGAACAAGAGAACAATTAAAACACACAGAAGTCGAAGATATCCTCAAATTTATATCCTGACCGAAAAGGAAATGCGCCTATAAATTAAATGACAAAATGTTGCACTGAATGGAGACAAAAATCAGGTAAACGATCTAGATGAAGACCTGAAAAAGTGGAAAATTTACATCAGAGAGGTGATGAATTCATCCCGGATATGGAGACCAGCAGATAGAACACAGTGGAGGTCATTGTTGGAGGGCTACAGCCTGCAGAGGACAGACAATGCATAGAAGAAGAAGAAGAAGAAGAAGAAGAAGAAGAAGAAGAAGAAGAAGAAGAAGAAGAAGAAGAAGAAGAAGAAGAAGAAGAAGAAGAAGA